CAGTCCCTGTCCATCAGTCCCTGTCCATCAGTCCCTGTCCATCAGTCCCTGTCCATCAGAGTCCCTGTCCATCAGTCCCTGTCCTTCAGAGTCCCTGTCCATCATTGTCGCTGTCCATCATTGTCCCTGTCCATCAGAGTCCCTGTCCATCAGAGTCCTGTCCATCAGCGTCCTATTCATCAGAGTCCCTGTCCATCAGTCCCTGTCCATCAGAGTCCCTGTCCATCAGTCCCTGTCCATCAGAGTCCTGTCCATCAGCGTCCTATTCATCAGAGTCCCTGTCCATCAGTCCCTGTCCATCAGAGTCCCTGTCCATCAGTCCCTGTCCATCAGAGTCCTGTCCATCAGCGTCCTGTCCATCAGTCCCTGTCCATCAGTGTCCCTGTCCATCAGTCCCTGTCCAGAGTCCTGTCCATCAGAGTCCCTGTCCATCAGTCCCTGTCCATCAGAGTCCCTGTCCATCAGTGTCCCTGTCCATCAGAGTCCCTATCCATCAGAGTCCCTGTCCATCAGTGTCCCTGTCCATCAGTCCCTGTCCAGAGTCCTGTCCATCAGAGTCCCTGTCCATCAGTCCCTGTCCATCAGTCCCTGTCCACCTGTCCATCAGTCCCTGTCCATCAGAGTCCCTGTCCATCAGTGTCCCTGTCCATCAGTCCCTGTCCAGAGTCCTGTCCATCAGAGTCCCTGTCCATCAGTCCCTGTCCATCAGAGTCCTGATCATCAGTCCCTGTCCAACAGAGTCCCTGTCCATCAGAGTCCTGTCCATCAGTCCCTGTCCATCAGTCCCTGTCCATCAGAGTCCCTGTCCATCAGTGTCCCTGTCCATCAGTGTCCCTGTCCATCAGAGTCCCTGTCCATCAGAGTCCCTGTCCATCAGTCCCTGTCCATCAGAGTCCTGTCCATCAGAGTCCCTGTCCATCAGTCCCTGTCCAGAGTCCTGTCCATCAGAGTCCCTGTCCATCAGTCCCTGTCCAGAGTCCTGTCCATCAGAGTCCTGTCCATCAGTGAAACCAGTCTTACATCATGATGGAGTGAAAGGATCATAAAAGAAGCTCCGCCTCCAGAAGCCACACCCCACAACCTTAAACCTAAAACACCAAAAGTTGTAAAACTCAGAGAACCTGAAGCAACAAAAGAACAGCTAAAAACTAACCAASAGAAGCTGAACAGTAGCTAAAAGCTCGCTAAAGTTTCAAATTAAGCTTCTGATCCCAGACACCCTAAAGGATCCAGAGCTGATGGGTGGACCTGGTTCTCCTTTCATCTCCTGACCCCCCACCCSTCCGGCTGAGGTCCAAACGGGGCCACAGAACCATCGTCTGTTTAATGAGCTTGGTTCCCAGGGACAGAATAACTGGACTGTAAATATCAGCCGAAAGTTCAAAAACAGCCGAAATCTTTTGTTGGAAAAACCAGATTTAATGAATCAATACTTTTATTGGGTTTATTAAAAACCAATTAAAATTTAACTTTAATGTTGAAAAACAAACATGAAGAAACTGAATCAGACCAACAGTAACTCAGATCAAACCCAACGAATCATTGACTTTAAACAAAGAGCTCCGGGACCAGGACTTGAACCCTGGACCTTCTTGCTGTGAGTCAGCAGTRTGAACCGCTGATCCACCGTGTTTCATGTTTTAAACATTCATTTAAATCAATAACAGGTAAAAGKTCCTGAACGATTGGAAACAAACGGTGAAAACTGAACCGGTTCTGATCAATATTTGATGAGTCATCAGATCCGAGAGGCACCATGGAAACTTGGGTTCCTTCAAACCGGGACACGGACCAGGTGGTACGATCCGAACCGCCTCTGCAGACGCAGCAAAAACACGTCTGGTTTGTTTTCATCAGGAATGACTGAAGCTAAAAGAGCTAAAGTTTAGCTGCCTGCGGCTCATATCAGCTGCTTCAGTTTCCTGACAGTAAAATGTTTTTTAGATTTAAAGGTCCAGATCTCAGAAGAATCCCTTAAAGATGTTTGGGTCTATGGACCCTTGGTTTGTGGTTTGTGGGGTCTCACAAACTGGGATCTGGTCTCAAAAACTGGAATCTGGTCTCAAAAACTAGACTCTGGTCGTCTCTGGTTTCAGAAACTGGACTCTGGTTGTCTCTGGTCTCAGAAATTGGACTCTGGTTGTAACTGGTCTCGGAAACTGGACTCTGGTTGTCTCTGGTCTTGGAAACTGGACTCTGGTTGTCTCTGGTCTCAGAAACTGGACTCTGGTTGTCTCTGGTCTCAGAAACTGGACTCTGGTTGTCTCTGGTCTCAGAAAATGGACTCTGGTTGTCTCTGGTCTCAGAAACTGGACTCTGGTTGTAACTGGTCTCAGAAATTGGACTGGTTGTAACTGGTCTCAATTGGACTCTGGTTGTCTCTGGACTTGGAAACTGGACTCTGGTTGTCTCTGGTCTTGGAAACTGGACTCTGGTTGTCTCTGGTCTCAGAAATTGGACTCTGGTTGTCTCTGGTCTCAGAAACTGGACTCTGGTTGTAACTGGTCTCAGAAATTGGACTGGTTGTAACTGGTCTCAATTGGACTCTGGTTGTCTCTGGACTTGGAAACTGGACTCTGGTTGTCTCTGGTCTTGGAAACTGGACTCTGGTTGTCTTTGGTCTCGGAAACTGGACTCTGGTTGTAACTGGTCTCGGAGACTGGACTCTGGTTGTAACTGGTCTCAGAGACTGGACTCTGGTTGTCTCTGGTCTCAGAGGCTGGTCTCTGGTTGCCTCTGGTCTCGGAAACTGGTCTCTGGTTGCCTCTGGTCTTGGAAACTGGACTATGGTTGTAAGTGGTCTCGGAAATTGGACTCTGGTTGTAACTGGTCTCAGAAATTGGACTCTGGTTGTAACTGGTCTCGGAAACTGGACTCTGGTTGTAACTGGTCTCTGAAACTGGACTCTGGTTGTCTCTAGTTGTCTCTGGATGTCTCTGGTCTCAGAAACTGGACTCTGGATGTCTCTGGTCTCAGAAACTGGACTCTGGATGTCTCTGGTCTCAGAAACTGGACTCTGGATGTCTCTGGACTCTGCAGGTC